GACTGTCCCGCCCGTCAGATGCTTGCATGCACACCTTCACCCATAACATATGGCAACCGTTTGAGAACCATAGTTGGATATTAGTTCGTCGAAGTGATTTAAGTAACAACGGCTCATTCAATACTTCATTCGCCTGACTGATAACGCCGAAGCTCATGCAACGAAGTGTTGGTAGAAATTTTCTCTTCCGCGAACATACTCGGAATACTGAAGCAGATTCATGAGACGCGCGCATACTGTAAGATGTTACTGATTCGAAACTGCTCACGAGAAAAATGCGTTGGCGAACAGTAAATGTGGCAGTGCTAGATGCGCCTTTGCCTTCGCAGCTAACAGAGGAAAAAAAGATAACTGATAGCAGAAAGAGACGCAGTAAAACAAGATTTACTTTAACAGGGTGTTGCGTTATTGATGATGTCAGTCGATAATCGTGGAAGAAAAGATAAATTTCATTAAAGTTTGTTTGGGCCTAAAAACAGTTCAGTTTTGTTGACTGTTAATTGAAGAACAGCGCCTCAGCAGCAGATCATTATACAAACTAACTTATATATTGAAAGATCAGTCAGATCAGAGGTCAGTCTGCTTTTGAACCTTTCATTAAATTGTTGTGTAAATAAAATCCTAACTAATTAACCAATAAGAGACGTCCATTTACTACACGTTTCTTCTTATTCTCCTAATGCCTGCAAACATTCCAACTGGATCGAATAAATGCAAGCTCACTTATCAGTCATTTCGATGCCTTGACAGTTCTAACGAAATCATTTCATCTTTGCAGAGAGGTTCCCCTGGCGGGCGGCCGCCTGCCAATAGGATTGGCATTCTCTATTCGATTTACAAGGTAGCATTCAATTCACTGTCAATTTGATGTCAATGGCCTAGTCATCTTGTTTGTAGCTAGTCGGTCATTTTAATTGTGTATTCTAATTGCTTTAGTACGACAGCATCTGACATCAGATTAATACTCCTAATATATCGTACTCTTGCCGTTAAATTCTTCATCCGTCGTTGCCAGGTTTCTGTTTTCAGCTTTATTAAATGCTGCCGCCTCCAACTCATAGGGAAAGACTTTCAGAATGCAAGCTCTGTATATCCGCAATTCGGTGCAATTGCCAACATCTTTGCCATTCAAGAGCTTGAATAACTTGTGCTCACTGCTAATGCAATGCATAACGCCTCTTAACTGCGTTTATCGCTCGTCTGTCTGCAGCCAAGATAATTCTTAGATACAGATGCACTGGTATTTTTCCACAACTTCTGTGTCACCTGTCAGATACTGGTCTGAGTTCTACCAATTTTCATTCACAGCATCTTCTTTAAGTGAATCGAGAGACCCGGATCAGAACTGCTCATAGTCAGTAGCAGTTCGAATTTGTCTGCTAGAATGTTATCTTATGCACTAATTTATAAGGAAAATATGTGCCACCAACGAGTAGCTCGTGCATTTCACATATTTCTGCTCATCGCTCACCATTTCCATTCATCTCGCTTATGCCGTATGATCCAGGCATCTACGTAGCTTATTTTGTGTTTCTACTTTCTCAATGAAATCAGCCAGAACAAGCAAGATATCATGGGATATCGTGGGTTGTAGCAACGGACTCATCGTGCCATAAAATTTCTCATTCGCTGCCTTTGCCGCAGCTTCGATAGGGACATAAAAACCAACTACCATGACGTCAAATCCTTTGTAGCTGGACTGCAACCTCGCCATAATGATTCGGTTAGGTATCACACGTCGGTAAAAGAGGGCCTTTTCTTTACATTTCTGCTGACTACCAGTGCAACATCACCTCTGTGAGGAACGCCTTATGTTATATTTCTTGTACAATAGAAGTTATAGTTTCCAGCGATGGCAACACTTGTTCCAGTTCAGTGTCTCTCTTGCATTGTAAATACCTGTAATCCTATTGGACCATGTTCTACTGCGATCAGTGTAGTCTGTCTAGGTGTATTTACCGGTTGCATATTCAACTTGGCAAACTATATCAGACATTAACTATGAAGCCGTTTTTCTCTGCGCTGAAGTTTTCTTGAGATACCTACTCCTAGCCAGAGAGATTTTCGGGTAAGTTAACAATAAAATGAGGTCTAGATTACAATATTCTGTAATCATGGACATATTCCCTAAGCTAGTTAGATTCGCTTGAGCCTCTCTATTCTAATAGACCTAAGTTTCTGTATTTATTTGCTTAACAAGCAACCTTCTCATTTCATTCAGCGTATTCTACGAAACTGCTGTCCTTCTGTCATAGCCATGCAAGAATAAAAATTTTGTCATCTTTGTTTTAGAAGATATCTATATGAAGCACATCGATTGGTTCAACTGTGAAATTCATAATAAGTAATTGTTACTTAGCTGCTTAGGTTATAATATTGATAACGACCAGATTCGCGTTCTCTGATTTAAAAACGTTTTCTTTAACCTTACACCCAATATCGTTGCTATGGCTGTAAAACCAACGGTTTTGAATGCTTAGTCTTTATTGTTCATCTTTCATTTCCGTAAAGCACAGAATCTCTGAAGGAATGCACTGAAAGATGACTATTAGAGCGTTAGAAAATGTTCTACTTTCCATGAAAATGATCCTTTAGTAAATTCAGTACAAGAACCTTCATTTACAGTAAGGACGTACAAGTTCCATCAGAATGCAATGCTACATTATCATATTTTGTATTGTTTTATCATGATGTAAAATCGGCCATCTTTCCTACTTTTATTCCATTTTACTAAATGCAGAAAAATAATGATTGATTGGATAAAAACTTGTCTGCACACTTGTTGCGAACAGTCAACCGAGGTTTCGGTTGATTTTTGAACAAATTTCAATGAACAATTATTTTTCCATTGCTTATTGACAGCAATTAGTACATCCACCTTGCACTGACCGACAGTTCGTACTCCTTGATGCTGTTATGCTCATTGCTGTCCACACTGTGCAAACTTCTGTTATAACATTTTGTTTCACTAAACATGCTTTTGCAATGCTAACATGGCAACCAATATACGGTAAAATGAGCGATTATTCTTTTCGTTGTCGAAACAAGTTTATAAATTTACCAAATGAGGCTTGCTTTAAATTAATTTTGCATAGAATGAATGCAGCGCAGGTGGAGTTAACAAGAAATATAAACAGCACTTGTTGCCAGTATGACACGTTTATATTGCTGCCTTAATAGCTCTACGAATGCAATAGAAGAATCTATGACCTATGTACCCTAAAATTTCAATCTAAATGCGCCTAAGCTACCATAACTAATAAATCAGCAGCAACAAAGACTTTGCTTAAACTTTCATAGCTGCCGTTGGTGCCTATAAATTTCCTTGTTAGCAAAATCTTTTAATAAAAATTCATTAACAGCATCAGGTCATAGCATCAGCTCCGCTCAAAATTGAACTCCTTAAAATTTAACTTCCAGCACTTCACACTACACATAGAAAGACGTTGATAGAACTGACAGTGTCAGAAGCCGTGAGAGCAGTTTAAGCGCTGTTCTACTGTCACGGATAATAATTCATTTAGAACCCTGCCCTTACATAATGAAAGGATACTGCAAAACTAGCCAAACATATTGCTGTAGGTAGAAACAATAAAGATGAAGTTTCACTAGCAGTATGATAGAACTAGAACGATCAATGACATTTTGATTGTTTTAAACACTTAAATCTCAATTTTGGTCTGATACAGTACCTTGTTGGTATCAAGTAATTAAGGATAAATAGTGTAACTGTCCAACCGTACCTTTTCGTGAGCTAAATTATCCAAACCGTCGTGTGATTAAATGTAACTGTTTACAGTAAGTAAGACAAAATTAATTCGCACTAGTAGCCAAGATTATTGAAAACTGGCTAACAGATTTTATTTATGTGCCAAAATAATTTGAATATTAATTACAGCTACTTCAATGTTTAACGCACGCGTTTAGTAAGTAGTAAGAAAAGTCACTGTTCTTGCCCTCCCAGATTTGAAGAGCGATTCGAAGTGAACGATTCCATTGAAGGTTTTCTATTTCTTGTCTATGACTATTAGATTGGAACAGGACTTTTGGCAAAAAACTTAAATTTTGCAGGTTCTTCTTATACTCTTGCATTAGAGTAACTATTTCTAATCGTGCAATATGTCTGCCTGGACACAAAGCCGAGGGAACCATCGTCGAAGAGGCAATCAGGCATCGACTGCGGCAAAAGTTTCGAAGAAATTCATTGAAGCGAAATGACGTGTTCACAGATGCAGCAAATAATCAGTTTTAACGCAAGTCAGATAACGATTGCGGAGAAACGTTACAGGAGTTTCACACAGGCATTTAGCCATGGATTATTTCATGCTGACGCATTATACTCATGCTATGGTTTTCATAGACTAAACTCTCTTAAAATGGTATATTGACACGATCGATGAGGAAGTGGCTATCGCCATATGCTGAGAACTTGTGCTTCGACCTATGTCTTACAAAGTTATACCAAGGTATTCGTTCAGAGAGTTTCTTTTTGTGACACGGAGTTGCTCACTTGAGTTTGTATAGAAGCCGAAAAGAATATGCATAAAAATAAGCTCCAGCGTTAATCAACACATTGAAAAAGTTCTTGGAAGGGATATAGCTCTTACTAGGTAAGCTTCATATGGGACACAATGTGCTGCGAAAGGGGCCAACATGTCGTTTCTACTTTTAAATGCC